TTGTCATCAAGATATTTTATCTGTTGGTATAGACTGTGCATAAAAAGTTGTTATAGAAGATAATGAAAAATTGTCTCTTCCAAACAGCAGATTTGTGGTCATCCCTTAGCACAGTGCCTTTTTATTGGAGTGCCAGTTATTGGAATGCTTTCAGTCATTTCTTCCAAGATAAGTTTTCACCCCTCACTGTGTGGGCTCTCTGTGCTATTGTAACTGTCAGTTACGTTTCAGCATTTTCACTTTCTTCCTTTTGGATGTGAAATTCAATTGCAATAAGTTACTCAGACACTAATTGCTTAGCAGAACAAGGATGCTTTACTCTGACAGCAAGATATCAGCAAATTCCTGCCACTTTAAGGGAAAGCAATGTGCTTTAGGATGTGGGAGAAATGCAGAAAATTTCTGTTTTTATGAAGGACCTATAATGAGAGGGAAAATGCTTTTTAGTTCTAGAGTATGTCCTGCATGTTCAAATTTGCATTTCCCGTGGTAAGGGTTATGTCCTGCTAAAAGTCTTGCAAGAATTTTCTTTTCTGAGGAGTTTTCTGGGTTTGCTTACCATTCATACTTGTGTGCCATTGAACATCAGGGGAAAAGTTACAAAACATTTTGCATTCTCACTTGCAGTAGTGAATATTTGAAACCAGCCTATAAGGCAACTGTGCTGTGCTAGTCTCACAAATCATCTTCCATTAAATGTTGTGGACACAAGGATATCTGCTGGGCTTGTGGGGCTTTAGAAATTTCTACAAATCTTTTACTAGTGTGTATATGGAATCAGTATACTGCTTTTAAATTACTTTTTTGTATTGCTTTACACAGTCATGCCTGCTTGAAAACAAAGCTGTTTTATGATGAATTCAGCTCTCACAAATTGAGGCAGATTTGATTTAAGTTATGTGAATGAGGTCCTGTCTTCCATCCCAAGACTGGTTTTGGAAAAAAGTAACCTTTAGGAGGAGTATAGCTTAATAAAAAGGAAAGCAGTCTGCCTCTAGGTATGACTGTTGCAACTGGAGGACTGATGTGTGGGAGCTGTAGCTCCAATCAGGTACCAGAGACAGTGGCCTCCTTACCTGGTAAGAAACTTGTGGTTTGTAGGTAGGCTTTGGCTTTTTAGATTAGTCATATAACATTTGGAGTATAGGATACCTAGTCTTCAGTACAAGTTTCTCTCCATCTGCTTTGCTCTTAACATATGCAGTGTCCCGAAAAGGGTGTATCTTTGCTAGAGAAAAAACCAGATGCAATAAATGCATTATTCTTGGAGTCAGAATAGAATTTTTGAGACCGGAGAGCTTTAGCTGCTGGGCAGTGGAATTTAAAAGGCATTTGTAACCTTATATTCAAAGCTGAAATGGTGATATTGGCCTGGGTTTTGCTTATGTTTGGGGTTTGTTCTGGTGGTTTGGTTTGGTTTTTGTTTGTTTGTTTTTGTGGGAGGTTTTTTTGTTGTTTTTTTTTGCTTTGTTGGGGGGGGGGCTTTTTTTTTTGAGCCAAGGAAGCGTGGAAAAATATATTAGTGTTATTGATTTGGCTCTGTAGAAAGTCATCAAGGAAAAAGGCTTGAGTTTCTATCAGAAACAATGCTTTGTTCCACCTTTTCAGCCCTTTCTATTTCAGGTTATCTGAGTAGCAACCTGATTCAGTGGTAAGAATCAAGGTCATATTTTATTCAGTACAAGAAAATGGAAAATCTGGCAAGAGCCAAGACACTTGTTTTGAAATGGTTTTATTTAGCCCTTTCTGCTACAGCTGCTGTCAATGGCAAGAGATAAAGCTAATGACAGAGTACAGGGAATTTACTGTTCATTATTCATGACTTGCTAAAAGTTCAAGTCTGTAAAGGATTTTGTTATTCTTTTCATAGGTCTTTCAGATTTTCAGATATAATTGGCTGCAAGAAATTGGATGAAGCAATTAAAGAAAAGATGTATGTTTTTCTTGACTTAATAACCTTGACAGAAAACTTGAGAACAGAATTTAATCCACAGAATATTCATGGACAAGTTCACTAGTTAAAATTGCAGTGTAGCAAGATTATGTTCATGCTTAAATCTGTCATTATTGGAATAAACTCTAGACTTGCATTTTGTGCTGGCATCCTCAGACCTAACTAGCTCTGTTGTGAAGCCTTTAGTTTATAAATAAAAATCTGAGTTACAAAATTAAAGCAGTTGTAGACCTAAATGGGACGTGGAATGAATGAGTGGAGATTTACCTTTAATGCAGAAAAACCTCTGCTGAATAGGAACAATTATCAGTAGTGTTGTATTGTCTTATTTGTTCTTAAAGTAAATTTGAGGGTTCTTGATGTAAGTAAAAATGAATAAACATTTCATCTAGATTCTTCCTAACTTGTGGCTTGGCTGTCTTTCCTCCTCCTGCTTAGGAAGGTTGATGTGTCCTTTCATTTGGGACTGCAGTAGGTGCATATTGGGAGCACGAAGGTGAAAAGAGGGGTGGTGCTACAGGAGTCCATAACATGACACTTTTGATTTAAACCAATGTGGGGAAGGAAAGGACAGGAAGAAGCCAAATCAGTCTTTGATTTTACCTTCCCATTAAGACAAGTGGAAGAAACTACAGCTCTGATTCAAGGTGTCAGTTCTTTGGCTGAAGGGTCTTGGATGCAAACTGAGGCAGTTCTAGTTTTAGAGCACCACAGTTTGACTTTACATCTGTACCTGCTGTAATGTATTCTGTGCTTACAACTGGACATGTGGACATGACAGGTTCATTTTACATATTGTTCAATTTTACATTGCTTTTTCTGCAGTCTTCCCTGGAATCTGAATCCCAAATTGTATTCCCTTTTACAAGTATGTCAGTAATAAGTTGCTACAGACTGCCTTCTGCTCGTACACACAACGTAGTTTCAACATACTTCCACCACTATAGATCAAAAAAAGATTGAGTGCTTTAAAAGAATGTCTTGCACATATTTTACAGGCACAGTTACCTTTACAAACAAAACATGGTTTTGTAAAGAAACATTTGTAAAGAAACATTTTCAGTTTACAAATAAAATGCTACCCAAAATAGTGAGGAAGGTGTTAGACAATATTTTTCATTTCTTCAAGTTGGAGCCGGACAACATTAAATTTCCCACGGTAGAGTCCCCCCTCTTTTTCCTCATAGAGTTGAAAACAAAAACAAAACCCACAACCTGTTTAAAACTGACCTTTCAAAGGAATTACTCGGGTTTTGTTGCTTTGAAAGTGGCTGTAGTGGCCCTTGCTGTGTGTATAATTCCCTTCTAAATGTTTTTTGGTGAGCTTAGTTACTTACAAGCATTGTTTCTTTTTTTTGAATGGGTGCAGCAGAAAGGCCTCCACTACGTATATGCTCGAGTATAAATTTGTGAATTTCTGACAACTATTTAGGACTGGTTTCAACAAGAGAGGTTATGACAATCTGGCAAAATTATTAGAGTTGGAGGGGACTTCTAAACTGTAATTTCTCCTCCCAGATGCTAACATAGGTTAGAGATGGGATACAGAATAGGCAGACTGAAACAAAAAAGTACGAGGGGGAGAAGGAATAAAGGTGGATTAGCGATTAAGGAGCTGAAACAAGATAAAATGAGATGGAGGAGTTTAAAAGGCTAGCAAGAAGGTTTTTTTACTGACAAGGAATGCTGGGTGGGCGAGAGGAAAAGCATTATGAACCACTATAACATCTTGGCATAGAAACCACTGTCACAATTCTCAAATAGTAAAGATGTTTTGTTTACTAATGCCAGAGCATTTCTCAGCTTCTTCCTGTCTCAGTTACTGTCTGCTACTGGTTACACATAAGAAGCCTCTTAGCTCTTCATCTTAATATTGTTACTGAAGTTTTTAAGGGAACAAAACTCCATCAAAATAGTGATGGAAAACTTCACATAGTGCACAATGTCTGATTTGATTGTGTCTTGATAGTTAAATTATAGGGATGATGTTGCTGTGCTGTTTTTTAAAGGTTTAACTATGATTGCAGTGGCTTGTGTAAAATATTTTTTTAAAATATCGAAACAGATATCTGTATTTATATATATACACTTATCTTTGTAGTAAGATCCTTATTTTGATAGATTCTGGTTTATTATGTAAACTTCAATTTCTTCAGTATGGGAATTAGTAAATTATTTCACAATGAAAACTATTGGGTCAACATGTCTGATATTTTCCTAGTTTAGATCGATATTTTACTTTCTCTTGCAAGTTGTAAGGTGTCCAAGGGTCAGGCCTAATCATCAGATCAGATATCTGGGAGGTACTAGGTTATGTGCTCACTTCAGGTCAGGTCATATAGCCTGTCAGTCTTGTGTTTTCTCCTTAGAGAATTATTATGTTTGAATTTTACACGTCCACATAATTCTTCAGTGCAGAAATTTCCTTCTTTAGTGGTACAATAGTATTCTTGAATTACTTTGCAACCTGATCTATATTATACAAAATCGATTTGTTTCGACAAAGTACTTTTTCTTTTCAAAGAGAGGAAATGAATTTAATATAATTACTTACAGTTTGTTTTGTGACACATTGCGTCATTTGTTTTGTTTTATAATTTAGGTGGATTGGAGTTAGTTTTCCAAGTCACAGACTACGGTATTGATGTTATATTTTTAAAAGTAAAAAAACTCACCAAAATGTCTGCTGTAGAAGGAGATGGGAATACGCTAAAAAATATATGGATTTTTCGTATGTTGAATTATTCAAAGGTTGGACTACAGTCTCGATGGTTTTTAATCATATATTAGCTAAAAGTTAAATTAATAATTCAGGTTGTATTAAAAGCAGTTATTTTGCTATCCAAAATATTCCGTTTATTATGTTGTTTTTTTATAGGAAAACTGTGGTACAAAATACTCACATTTTTGGTGATTTAGAATGAGGTAACAAGCATCCTCTCCTCTACTTGCGCATTTTCTAAAGCTACCTGCTTTCACATGTGAATGTTTGAGTATGTAAAAGTAGCAAAAAATATCTTTTTTTTTCTCCTTCCTATAATTTCAGGAGCTGCTGGGTTTGTTTTGCTACCGACGAGGACGATCGGACAGCGGAGTGGGTGAGACCCTGCAGGTGCAGGGGCTCCACGAAATGGGTTCACCAGACGTGTCTGCAGCGCTGGGTGGATGAGAAGCAAAGAGGAAACAGTACTGCTAGAGTTGCTTGTCCTCAGTGCAATGCAGAATATTTAATAGTATTTCCAAAGCTAGGTAAGATACGTATCACTGAAATTCTTGTTTCTTTATTTGTTCTTGCTTTCTTTTTTTTTTTCCTTTCTTGTGCTCGGAGCATCAGTTCTGTTGAAAACTTGTCTATTCCTTTTTCCAGACAGAAAGAAATAACTTTATATTCTGCTCACATCTTATTTGGTGGCTTAGTTAAATACCTTCTAAAAATTTTGGATGTGTTCCACTTAGGTAAATTGATAAATCTTGTGATTGACCTGTAATTATTTCATGGCTAATGGGATTATTTTTCAAGTTGAGCAGAGGGTGAATTCTTTCAGCAGTTGCCACACAGCACATAAACACATCCCTTTTTTGACTCAGCTTGCAGAGAAACTTATCAAAAGAAATTAAGAGGAAAGAACCTTACTAAGCAGCGTGTGGTATTACCCAAAAAACATAACTTACACTTTGTTTGGGAGGTATTTCTGAGTCAACACTGCCCTGAAATAGAGGCAGAATATCTGTGGTTGCTGGGCACTGCTTTAGCTCTCTTTGTCAAGGTGAAAGAAAAAGGTTGGATGTGGTCTTCCAGAGTCTACTTACTTGAGTAGCCAGGTAGGACACTGCATGGTGTGTTGCATGTTATTAAATTAGCAGTGGTTGCTGTTAGTCCAGCCCTTATTTGCCCATGTGTTCTGTGGGATATATTAAGTAAAGCAAGAAAATGAAATGTTGCCATGGGAACTTAAATTTTGTTTAAAAGTAAAACTGCTTGTTAAAGAAATGCTGATGTAGCAAGTGAGTGCAGGCATTTAGAGGATTTTAAAGATCTTTTAAAGGACCTTTTTTTTGTAATGAAGCAGCTGAAAATAAGTCAGTTCTTTGGGACAGAACCTCTTTCCTATTGGTACAAGGGCTGACAAAATTAGGGTGTCAAGGGAATTTTATGAGTGATAACGTTTATTTCCATGCTAGAACACTGAGTATTGGGAAAGAAAATACTGACTAGTGTATTGTTGATATTCAAGAAAACATAAACCAGCATGAAGCTTACTACCAAGTTATTTGTGTATTGACCACAATTCAGCTGTGCTATAAAGATAAGGGAAATCTCCATCATAAAGAAAGCATCAAGTGATAAAATTTAGCATTGGCTTTGGGAAGAAAACTAGTGTAATATCTGGACAGAGAATGTACCACAAAACTTGAAGCTGTTTAAAATTCTTATTTGTATCTTGAATGATGAAATAGTAATGTGAGCTGCATTTGCATTTTATTTTGGCATTGGGAAAAAGGGGAAGCAACTGTAGTTTGGACAGGATACATGCACATAAACAACAACAGGCATTTTAATCTCTTCTTGCAATTTGTGGCATACTGTATTTGAAAGCTAAAATTACTAAATTCTAACATTTCTGCTTTCTGAAGGTGACCTAAAATTCTTGCATGAGATTTTTCAGCTCTTGCATGCAGGTATGCAAGAACCTTTTAATGTATCTGATGTATTTTCCTTCACAATACCATCTTTTTCTATTTTAAGAGATACGAGCATAAAATTCAGACTTGTCTGAGTGTACAGAAGACATCAGTAGTAGAGCAGGGAGATGAATCTGGGTCCATGCAACATCAATCATGAGCTTGAAGAGCCTTAAACAAGTGAGACAGTCTTGCCTTTTTGTAGGTCTTTCTAATAACCCAGAGCTGTTCTCTCACAATTCAACTGTAAGTCAGGCAAGGTCCCAGCAGGCAGAGTTGGACAGTAGGATGTTTTCAAGCAGTCTTGTTTCTTTCTCCTGCAGCAGGTAACTTTGAAGTCAGTACTGGTCATAGCGTACAAGAATCTAAAATTACTTGAGCAGGGAAGAAGTAACAAGTGAAGTTTCCCTGAGGCATTACAGTTCAAAAACTTATCTACATTAAGACTTCTCTAATGTGCTGCTGGAAACTTCTTTCTAAAAACAAATTTCTGTGAAAGGGCACTCCTTAACACAACTTTTAATTTATGTTTATAGTTTGGAAGTAATATCAGTTTGAGGAGACATCCATTAATATCTTTATAAGTAACAGTGGGTATCTTTTTATATATTTACCAATTCTCAACAACCCCTCCCATGGCATATCTTTACATTATAATTCCATTTCAAATTTGATAGTGCCTATCAGTTTTGGTGATTGGTAGTAATTATGTTCTTGCTAGCTGTTTTCCTCTCTTCTGAGAACTTTTACTAAATAGAAAAATGTTATTGCCACTTTGAAAGTAACTGTAGTATCTCTTAGATAATTATTTCAGTTTAATGAACAGAAAACAGACTTGGCAGAAAAAATTCTGTTAAAGCATGACAAATTTTGCAAAATGAAAAATATTTTCATTTTTATTTCCTTCTTTAATTTGTATATCAGTGATATTTATTTTCCTGCTTTTTCCTTAATACCATCTTAAAAGAAACAGATTTGTCCTCCTTTCTCACTACTGCCTTCCTAAGGGACTAGTTGAAAGATTGTTTCAATAATTTTTTTCCTAGTGTTCTATAGCCAATTCTGTAACTAGCTTCTCTTAATGATTAGTATCAGTATTATAACTTGAAGTGTTATAAGGGAAGCTTCACTGCTTTTTGAGTCTCTTGTCTTCAAACAGATATAAGTTTTCAAAATTATGCAACTAAACAACTTTTTCAGTGACTGTGGGAAACAGTCAAGATGTGTCAATTTTTGTGCATTTAGTACTTGCAGTTACGACCTTGTTGCTACTTCAAGCACATTGATAGACATCCCAGCGCTTTCTTAAGTCTGTCCTGGAAAGTTAAACACAACTGTTAAGAGCTGAACTGCTTGTTCCAGTTCTTTGTATTTTAAACAATGTTCCTTCTTCACAAGCCTTTTAATTTTGGTACTTAATCAACAATATGATGCTCAACTCGACAACAAATTTAACTCTATAGTTACACTGTTTGTGGACTAATTGACATCAGTTGGTGTATTTGAAGCAGGATACTGGTGAGGTGTTCAGTGTCTTACAAGCCACATAGGAACATGCTTCCTGCCCTTAAAATGAGAGCTTTTTACTAAAGAATGCACACTGTACTGGAAAACGCACACAAAGGGAAACAATTTGAAGTACGTGAGTAGTAAATTAAGAACTCAAGGCTCCAGCAGAGCTCAAGTAGAGAGTACATTAAGCAGTATTCTGCCCAAGTTGTTAGGACTGCCCACTAGTCTGTGCATAACTGCAGTATTTACAATGACTTGTGTTAAAACTGCATATAAGATAGATGTGTTTAAATCGCAGCTCTTCAGTATGATATTCACACACATACACATGTACAGGGAAAAAAAGTTAGTCCTTCTACAAGGTCTCTCTACAAACAGTGTGTAAAATCCTACCCTGTTTAAAAAAAAAAAGGAAAAAACCCATCACAAAAGAGATGTATTTGAGAGTGCTTTACGAGAATACCAATGCTGATAAAACATGACAACAGATGAATTCAATTAGATGTTCCTGTTGCTTTTTTTCACTGACTGACTTGAACTGAGTAGAACTGGTTGTTTTGAAATCATTCACACTAGAGCTGTGCTTTTAAAAAGAGGAACCAACGAAGTCATGAAACAGGAGTCACAATTTTGTCACTGTGGCTCATGGAAACACATTTTCTGCAAATATCTGATGTGAATTTCAAATCTTGTTTGAATGTTTAAATGCACAGCTTTTAATTCATTTAGTGTAAATATGATAGTTCAGACACAAACTTTGGGGAACGGGGTGTTAAATTATCACCACCCTAAAAACTGAGAAAATAAAATTGTGATGTACTATGAATATTCGAGGTGAGAATTGAACTGCAAGGGATTTTTGGAGAATGCCAAATACAATACCTTTTACCTTTGGAAAGGTAAAAAACCGGAAAAAACCTATGGCACCTAATCTTAATTCTGTGCAAGGTCAGAACAAGTTTTGATTTGTTGAAGGTCAGGAGGAAAATGGCAATGAACTCAGGACCAGTGTACAATCCAGAACATGCTAACTAGCCTGGCAGTTCATCTAGCAGAAGTTCTGTACATCTAGTCTATCCAGACTTCAGAAAGTCATTTCATGCCACTGCTCAAGAGATCATTTTTTCCCCACCCTCCAAAAAAAAGGAGATTAGTGAAAGAATTACAGGCTAGAGTGGGTAAACCTCGATGAGAGACACAGAGGATTAGTTACTTGAAGAATGCCTGTAGGCTGGTTTTGAGCATAACTTTTGAGCATAACTGAATTTGGTAGGAAAAAGTAGGAGGAAGCTAACAGGAACTGTTCTGCATTTGAGCTGGGGGAGGACAGTCTGTATGTAGAATTTGTTGACAAATACAGAAGTAATGTGGAATCTGATCATGGTGATGATGTTTTTCACTTCCATACATACATCTCAGTGTTCTGGCTTTTGCTTGACTGGTGCTGTTGCAGACCCTCAAAGAAAACATGCAAGCATTGCCCTTGTTCACCTCACCAGAGGTGGTCAGGGTAATGTCTTGTTCTCTCTAAGTCTGGAAAGTGCAGTTTTCCATAGACAGAACAATGAAACTATTCATGCATTGTTGTCAAAGGCACTAAACACTGGAGAGAAAAATACTCCTATTCAGGTTGAGAGGTGGTCCTCTAAAAATACTGAATGCAGTCTCTAGCAGTGGAAGGAGTCTTTCCTCCTGACTGTGCTGCTACTTACTGGATAGCAGGATAGTTTAATGACAGAATTTTCAGGTGAAGCTGTCAAAGATAAGTACATGAAGTACATTACTCCTTATTGGTATTTTTTCCTTTTGAAATTTAAGTGTCTAACAAATAAAAAAACCACTAAGCCTAAAGTGCTTTCCACAACAGAACTATTCTGATTCAATACAAAGGAAGCTTGTCAACTTTAGTGGGTAAATTAGTGCTCTAACCAGTGTATCAATCTCTTGGAAAGATGTTGCAGTACATTAAATAGTATTTAGTTACAAGTTAGGCTTAATAGCTTTTTAATTATATGTCCTCTTTTAAACAGCACATGTGGTATCTCGGACTTGTATTTTGCCCAGTTTTTTCTTTCTTATCAGTGATAGACATCGAGACCTTTCTTCAGGATGCTTTTATGTGTATTTATATCTATCTTGAAACCTTACTTTTCCTTTATCATAGGTCCAGTTGTTTACGTTTTGGATCTTGCAGATCGACTGATCTCAAAGGCATGTCCCTTTGCTGCAGCTGGAATAATGGTGGGCTCTATATACTGGACAGCTGTTACGTACGGAGCTGTGACGGTGATGCAGGTACACACGTGTTCCCTCTCCTTACCAGCTTTGAAAGCAAGTCTTCTAAAGAAAAAGTCTATTAGGATTCCTTTTTTTCCTTGGCTTAAAACATATTTCAGCTGCTTTCATTGTAGTTAACAAGTGAATTCCAGATGGGCGCATAGAAACCTTTTCACTTTTAACTGGTCACACAGACTTGGCTTGGTATAAAGCCAAGTCTGCCTGTTCAAACATGGTTCAGTCTGCAACTAACAAAATTCACTACTGCTCTAGCTGGCTGCCTGTTGTATGGCAGGCTGGTGAACCCAAGTCTGTTCTCATAGAAAAAGTACCATTACTGCCTAGATACTACTAATGGGTAATTCTTCACAAAGGACATGAGATTAATATTTTTCTCTTAGCTGGAGAAAAACTTTGCCAGTAACATTCAAAGGGTTGAAACATGGTGAAATTTTTTTTTTTGTGTAATGTGATTTTTTTTTAAATTGTATAAAGGAAAATGCATCCTCTGAATGATGCAATTCATTCATAAACAAGAAATGCAAAGCACTGCAAATTAATAATATGCTCTTTTAATTACTTCAGACTGTATGATTAGTTGAAAGGGGAAAAAATACTTTTCCTACTTCTGTTCTTGTGAACTTGCTATTTAAATATAAAAATAATGTTGATAGGTAGTAGACTATTAACTACAGAAAGGCTTGTTCACAGCTGTCCTAGTTCAGCCACAAGACAAGAGTTTTCATAGATTGTACAACTAGAAGGATCTTTGTTACTGTTGTAGTTGTTGATTCCTATATCAAGTCCTTAACCTGCCTTGCCTGAAAGCATAAAAATATTTCAGATGCAGATTCAGTTGTATGCCAGCAAGTATTCCTCCACACAGTTCTCATTTTAAATGTACAACCTGGTCCTTCTCCACGTAAGTCATCTGACACTAATCGTTCCTGAACTGTGTGGTACTGCCCTGCAGTTCTGCAGATGGCTCCATCTCAAGATCATGTGCTGTTTTGGTTCAGTTTGTATGTGATCTTGTAGCAGAAATGAAGTGAAGCCCAAATGAGTTGTTGCAGTCCCCCTGGTACCAGTGTGGCCAGGGTCAAGCAGGTGCATAAGAGATGTTTAATGACTTTGAATATCACCTCCATTCCAGTGGATGAGTCTCTGTATTACAGAATGGTACCCTTAGGAATTTTCTCATTGGATATTTTGCTCTTGTGGCTCCTACAGGAACATTACAACCATCTGTAATACTACAACCAGACTTTTGAAATGCACTAGTCCTCTTCTCCTTGCTCATTGAGACCTTTTCTGTAGGAAAATATATGACCTTTTTTAGCTGCCCTAGAATTACATAATAAAGTGGAAAGATAAATGCTTCTTTCTGTAGTTGTTTTGCTTTTGAAATGAGGATCTGTCTAAACATTAGTTTAGGCAGCTGGTCAAATCCAGATATGAAGAATTAGCTGTTTACCTCATTTAATGTTTTGATTGCATGGGTGACACCCTTGGCAAGACAATTTATTAAGGTGGTAATAGAGGGAAACTGTCTCACCCCTTTTGCCACCCCAGCTTTGCTGGGTTTAATACAACTTGTCTCCTGATGCATTTCAGACTCCTTCAGCTGAATGGCTGGGGAGAAGCACAAAAGCTATTTTTAAAGGTTAAGAAAATTAAATACAGAATTGACATTGTGACTCTAGTAGTAGCTAAGTCAGTAACAAATCATATAGGGTTACTGAAAGCAGAGAAATATAGTAATCTAAAGCAGAAGAGACAAGATACTGAGGCTTTTTTAGATGGACAAGGAGTCTAAGGAGAAAAAGGATAGTGTCAGACTTCATGGTTTGGGTGGAAGATATGGAAGAAGCTGGAAGACAGATGCTGAATATTTTTTTCAGGGATAATCTTTTGGCAGCAACAGTATTGGTTATGCCTATTTTTAGAGGCTGTGGTAGATAACATAACTTCCTGTTCTAGAAGCATAAAATGGAATGGTTTTCAAAGCGTGTCTAAAAAAATACAGTTTGAAGGTACTGGGGTACATTACCCTGGTTTCTTCCCTGTGCCCTACCTACTCCAGAAGTACAAGTTTTGTTGTTTTCTTTTTTTTAAATTTTGTTATTGTTGCGTGTTCTTATCACCTCATTCTAAGTTTTGTGCAAGTGAAGACTTGATAGCTTGTTGTATTTGTGGAAAAACAAAAAGTCAGTGAAAGTGCATCAGGAAATTTGCTGCCTGACAAACATAATAGTTATTTTAATGTTTCTAGTCTTCCTGGATTCTTATGGAGAGAGTCATGAAAGAGCCTGTTCTTCCCAGAAGGACTTCAAGGACTTTGTTACCATTTAGTAATTCTTAAATTGAGACGACTCTAGAGGATATCTACCACTTGCATGTTTTTTATGTCCTCAGCCCCATTAGATTTATTCAAAATTAAAACTATGTACTTTTTAGGAAACATAAGGCACTGGTTTTTTATAGTTTTAATCTGTACATTTTATAAACTGCAAAGGCTGATTAATATTTTTATGTGCCAGTGGAAAGGTTTAGACACAGCAGTAAGGATTGTCCTTTAAAATCATAGCATTAACCACATTTGAAAATAAAGTACACGTGAAGATATGCTATTTCCACTACAGTTGAAAATAATGTACATCTTCCTGCACTGCCTAGAGAAGCAATAGTTTAATACTGTGATCTCTGTTGCACAGAGATCATAACATAAAATTTTGATTAAAACATCGTGAGATACTTGCTATCAATTTATCCTTTGAACAGTAGTATCTAATCAATTTCTGAGTGTAGAATTAATTTTTGTCAAACTGTAAATGCTTTGATGCATTTTGGAAAGCCTGCTATATTAATGCTTGAGACATTTAGGGGTTTTACATACACAGAAACACGTGAAACTTCTCTTGGGATGGGAAGGAATTGTGTTACAGCTCTCTGCAAGATTAATGATTTGCAAGCTAGAGCTGGTAGCTCACCTGCATTACACTTCATAAGCAACCAAGGATGCAAAGAGAAAACAGAGTAAATTAGGTAAAACCATATTCCTTTTTTCTTAAAAGGTGTGGGCAGCTCCAAACAAACCTGACTCTTTAAGTTATATTTTGTTCAGTTGTGGCCTCTGTTATGTTTGCCAACCATATGTGTATTTTCCAGGTTGTGGGTCACAAAGAAGGTCTTGATGTGATGGAGAGAGCTGATCCTTTATTTCTTCTGATTGGCCTTCCCACCATCCCAGTCATGCTGATATTGGGCAAGATGATCCGCTGGGAGGACTATGTGCTCAGACTGTGGCGCAAATACTCTAATAAGCTACAAATTTTGAACAGCATATTTCCAGGTAATGTGATAAATTTGAAAGAAAATACCAAGATTGAATTTCTGCCTTTAGGAGATGGGGATAGGCAAGTAGTGTTTGCCATTCTTAAGCAGAGGTGATTAACACCATCCTTCTCTTTCATGTTCATTCTGTTTAGATTGTGTTTGTATAGTACCTAGGGAGAAAGGTGGGCCAAGAGGAGCAGGAGCATGGTTTCAGTTAAGGCCTTAGTAACAAAACAAGCTGCTAAAAATCATATGTCTTACTTGAAAGTAAAAATTAATACAGTCATTTAATGGAAACAGAATATTCACTGAGAAGAGGGATTGGGCTATAGATTTGTAATGGAGTGGAGGGTGGGCACTACTGTGCTGTGTTCTTTTTGAGGCAGTGGCTATGTAATCTTTCTTTCCCCACTTTTATCCCCTTAGGCATTGGATGTCCTGTTCCTCGAATTCCAGCAGAGGCGAACCCTTTGGCAGACCATGTCTCTGCTACACGTATTCTCTGTGGAGCTCTAGTTTTCCCTACTATTGCCACGATAGTTGGCAAGCTGATGTTCAGCAGTGTTAACTCAAATTTACAAAGGACAATCTTGGTAAGATTCAGTATTGTTTGTTTCATAAATTATTATAATTTGGGAATATGAAGTGTTGTGGGCGAAGGAGGGAAGGTAAAAAGGAACATGAATTGACCTAGAATTTTAAGAGTGGCATTTGATTAAGGGAAGGGGTTTTTTAAGGTTGCCTGTCTTGGTAACCATGTGGGTGAAAGACTTTGTCCATATGACTGAAACTAATCTCAGTTCAAGACAAGGCTGAAACTTGTATCTGGTACTGTACTAAGCAAACTTTAGCACTAATCTTAGCCAGCATCTTCTAAGAACAATCTCTGCAAGGGAAGACTAAGGTTTATATTATAAACTTTTTCATATAAACTTTTGTTTACTAATTTTGAGAGAAATTCTTCATTTCTTATTTTAATAAGGAGAGAAAGACTAACTCTCCATAGAAGTTGAGTGGAAGGGGAGTGACAAAGAGAGGAGATGATCTCTTCCTCTCTGAATAATCTCTCTGGTCGCAGCCTTGCAAGGGGAATTTGGTCAGATGGTATCCCAGGTCATCTGACTGTCACTTCAGCCCCTGTTTACAATTCCTATGTATTTATGCCCCTCTCTTCCATATGGAAGAAACAGTGATATTACAAACATTCATGCAGACTAAAGGCTTCTTGGTGTCTCATTTTGAAGGCTTGAGATAAACATATTATAAAACTTTCCACAGGGAAATACAAAAATAGGTTTTATTTCACTTCACTTTTGGCAAGTGGTGTTTTTCACAGTCTGGTTATGGAATAGTTATCTTTATTATTCCTTGTGCCATGTATAGTATATATACAGAGAAGGGAGGAAAGCAGATACATATCTGCATTTTCTTTGTTCTTGAAATAAGATGTATTTTGTTTTTGGGGTTTTTTTAAGAATATTTGTCAGACTTCCCAGCAAATAAAAGCTCTTATAGAGTCAGTGTGTAATCTCTTTAAGTAATATTAACCTCTGTAATAGTGCATTGTGACAGAAAAGTTTGAGATATTCGTTTGGAATTGTCCTGATTAGGTAATCTTCAAAAGAAAATGCCATATATTTGAAAACAAATCTTCTTTGACTGGAAATTTTTAAGAAGAACATTTGCAATGGTATGTCACTGAACTGTGCAGGTTTTCAAAATATCTTTTTATTTCAGGGTGGAATTGCTTTTGTTGCTATAAAAGGAGCTTTTAAGGTTTACTTCAAGCAGCAGCAATATTTGCGCCAAGCTCACCGCAAAATTTTAAATTATCCTGAGCAAGAAGGAGCGTAAGGCTGTGACCTCCAGATGTCATACAGTCTCACCTAACAGGTTTCCATGTTGTATTGGTTCCTTTGTTATTGCACAGTAGTGGAAAATTGTGATAAATTGCTGCTCCTCTTTTTTTTTTTTTCTTTAAATACAATAAAGCACTGTCTTGTGGCAGGGTAAATCCTTTCAGCAACCACTGAACCTAAGAATGTGACTTGGCTTTCATTATTTTGGAGTATTTCTGTAGGGCAACAGGCTTCTAAATTATTTTCTTTGAGCCAATATACTGAATGGAAAAAAAAAAAAGCATTAACTACAGAACATTTTAAATGTTGTTAATGTAGGCTATATCCAAATGCCTTTTCCATAGGTGTTGTCATACCCACGCTGTCATCCAGTTCAGCATTTCACACAATGAAGGGAAATTGTTTTAGAAAGGAAGTGTGAGTCATTGCCAAGGAGAAATAATTGTAGGACATCAGTCAGTAAAGATTTCCTTGGGTTTTGCTGGTATCAAACCGGGAGTGTGAAATACTCAAATGACAGAGAAAGCAGAAGATAGATCTCCCTCTACAGGACTTGTATGTCAGCTTGAACCACCTAAGTACTAGGTGTTAAAATTAGCATGCCTTTCAGGTGACTGTTTTATTACTGATAATTTTCAGTGTCCTGTTGTATCTTCTGCAGTGCCTGGTGTCATTTTCTCATGGCTTTACTGGTTTGTAACTGGTGCTGGATAGCATTTTTTTCCTCCACAGTAAAATAATAATAATGGGGGAAGTAAACTGCAGTTGCTTAGTTTGTAGTTAAATTAGAACACTTGTTTAGTTTCCATGTCCTTTTGATTGTGTAAATATCCATACAAGTACCAAGAGCAGTAGAAATGTGAGGAAAAAACATTGAACACTAAAGCTACATTTTAACTGACAGAGCAGAGCATCCTTCTAAATTTCCAGACCTGAGTGTGTGACTCAGCTCTGTTCAGGACTGGGCTCTCCTGCCCTAGAGGAAGGGCTGGCTGGAAGGGTGTGACACTACACGTAGAGTACCTGATCTGAGCATCATGCTGGCAGGGTAGATGCTCTTAAGGTAACTTGGCTCCATTTTGTAAAGGACTAAAGGATAAATCTTAAATGTGTAATGAAGTTTATTTATACAGTAAGCTTTACTGTTCCAATATGTCTAAGGTAGTCAGCTGAGAGAGACATTAGCACTTCAGTTATTTGATGTGTTTATAAACTCAATTTCAACAGAAATTGTTTTGTGAAGTTAAATTTTGACAAACATAATACAGCCATTTAATATTCATACCAGACCTAATCTAAATTTAGTACTTCATGTTCTTTCCTAACAACAGTTTGTTTGTTTTTCTCCCAGTTTTTCTTTTCCTTGTTCATATTAGTATGTCAAATGCATGGAGAAGGGTTTAAAAAAATCTTCTAGTGAATTTATTCATAAATAAATATTTCTTTTCACCAGAAATGGAGTAAATGCAGAATTGACTTCATATTTGACTGCAATAATGTATGTTAAGAGAAATTCAAAATAAGGTACCTTTTCTATAGTATGTTTATCTTAATTACCAAGATGTAATATTTTAGAATTGTACAAAAGTGTATATAAAGGCCAATTAGTATTCAAAAACTATACAGGTATTGAGAATTATACATTCAATCAATATCAAATACAGTTGAGTTTCTTGCAGTAATGGAAGAATTACTATAATCTTGTAAGTCTGCTGATTATATTTGTCTTAGTGGGCTCACTTTTATATAAAACTCTAAATTGAGTAGCGGCCTCTGAAAGTTGCTGCTTTCTGTAAGATAGTCTTGAAACAATATTATATGTATTTCTTACAGAATTCCTTGTTTCAAGAAAACAGCTTTTCAGTGGTCTTCACTGTATATATTTCCAAACAATTTATTACTGTTTTTTAAAAGTTTGAAGAATTGAATGATGCAAATTAGCGGGTTTGAAACTTGTTCCATGGGAAAGCTCATTGTCTCTGGAAGTTAAAGCTATTGTAAAAATACAATTATAAAAATACTGTATGGACTGTAAGATGATTTCACATGAGCGGTAGAAGGTCATTACTCTGTAAATCTTGTTTTTAAGTATTGAAAATTATAGTTATGTTGAATTAGGTTGAATAAATATTTTTTACACTCCCTAGTGTATTTTGTCAGTTGAACAAAAGCCTGTAGCAAAACTTTTTAATGAAAAATGTGTTTTGTTTTAATGCATATATAAGGACTTATAATTAATTTTAAGTTTATAGCCTAAAGAAATATCTTGGTGATGAAGGAAGAATTACTATAAGACTTAAAGCTGACATTGACTTTTGGTTTGATTTTGTTTTTTTTCTCCTCTCTGGTGATCAATAAAGGATGTAGGGGAATGCGTTTCTCAAACATTTAAAAAGCAAAAGAATTGCAACACGGACAACTGCCAGTAACACAGAGCTGGGTTTGGGAGCTACTACATTTCTTTAGGTTGGCTGATGGGCAGCATTTATTTGGGCAATACACTGATCCCTCCTCTTATCTTGAGAAAGATAATACTGTCTGTAGGAAGTGTATTTTTCACTAACAGCCAATTTATGTCCCATTATTTTCAAGACAAGGAATATGAAATGTTATCTGGCATTTCTGACTATACTTCCTTACCTGTAATTTGGTTTCTCTTAGACTTCCATTATATTGACAAAGGCACAAATTTTCTGAGCTGTGATTATGTAAATACATAGGACTTGCTTCTCTTCTTCTCTCTCGTGTCCTGCCTTAAAATCTTTTATTTAGATGAAACCCTACTTTGCTTTTCACTATTATTTTTTTTTGCTTGTATGGTGGTTCTTTCCTGTAAAACTTAAAAGTATTTGTGCCAAAATTTGCCCAGCATTCTTTCTGCTTTACTAATACATGGAAGTCCAGGGTAGGCTTTCTTAATTCATTTCAAACCTTACTCAAGAGCTTGAGTAATACAGTTGACTTTCCAGAAGGGCAACTGTGGCATTGACATGTGCACAAAGAGAATATTGCTGTGAGTCAAAAATGTGTTCTGCAAACAAGGATGAACTCTCTCCATTAGGCCATGGCCCCTCTGCCTCAAGAAGATTTGAAGATCTGTGGCCACTTTGTCCATTCTTGCCAGTTAGTTATTCACATGTTCTGCATATTTAATTGCTTTTGCTCCTCTGAATATTGTGAGCATAAAGCAGTTATTTCTGGTGTACTGTACTGAGTCTTTCAGTAGAAAAATTCCATTCCAGAACCACTAAAAGCAAACAGCAGACATGACTTGAAACTGCCTCAACTAAACAGCTCAGCAGCACCTGTCAAAACATATCGTGCAGGCACCTCATTTAATGCTGGGTGACTAAGCCATGGAAAAGCAATTGCCTAAGCAGTGGTCCTCCATAGGAAGTACTGTGCTTATTAAAAAAGTTAAAAAGACAAAAAAGGCAACTTCTAGCTTTAGACCACTCTGTGATTGAGCACACACAGCTTGATGGTTTGGGTGGTTTGTGTTTTTCAGTTGGTCCTCTGCTCTTACTACAGCTCAGTAACACTGGGCTGCAGATAATGGGAGCTGACAAAGGATCACACTGCTCTGAGGATTTACTATATGTCTAAGGACTGTTTTGTCAGTAATTGTCATTTCTCTGCCGTGAATCATTACAAGAAGCTAATACCCTTACTTGCTACCCCTAAAAGTGCTTCCCCCTACCAATTTTCTAGATACTTCTCATGCACAGAAAATAGAATATGTAAGACAACATAGAATCAGAAAAACTTTTAATGTGATGAAAATGAAGAGTGGGGGTTTTTTCTGCAGCAAAATGGTGGCTGGTTCAGAACTGTCTGACTGACTTGATGGAATAAAGTACCACGTGACCTCTTTGGCATAGTTATAGATTAAGATCCCATGGGTAATTCAGAGTTTATTACTCATCATAGTTTGCTGCATGTCTCTTGTGTTACTCTGTTTCGGTAGAAAAAAATGCCATTTTGACATACAGAATCTGAGATTTGCACCCAATTCCCTCAGTACCAAGCTATGAAGGGCTAGTGGGATTTCTCATAACCAAGACAATAGCAATTCTTTTGAATGCTGAGAGGAGCATAGAAAATTGTTACTAACCTATAAGAATATTTCACTGAATAAAGGTTTCAGTTTTTATAATGTTTTTTGTACCTTTTAAATGCAAAACAATTTTTCTGTGTTCTGTCTGTGGTTTCTTTTGAAAAAGCAAATGGCATCTTTTAACAGCAGGGTTCTCAACCCCAGCATGTTTTTAACTTTCAAGGTACTACAAAAATGAAAGTGCTTTCTGCTTAGCATAAATTATACACTGTGGAATGCAACTGACCTTCCTCCATTAACAAGCCCCATCTCCTACTGCAGACACAGAATTGTGCTATGGATTTACGTTGCGAACCACCTTACTGGTAATTAGGCTTCTTTTCTCATCTCATTTCAAAGATAAATGAAAACTCAAACTAACCTAAGGAGTAAATTCACAAGTGATTTCAAAAGTATAGGTGCTTCCATTTCCTTGTTCAGCTCTAGATCCTTTATGAACAATTTTTCTATTTTACTTTCTGAAGGGGCTCAAAAGTGGTGAGCCTCATTGCATCCATTAATTTTATTTTTTAAAATACACAGTTACAACATTTACATGTAGCTAGTTATATGTCAAATGACAGAAAATATATGTGTATTTCCTGAGCCTTCAGGCCATAAGCTTTTTTGGATAGAGTTGGAGTAGGTGATCACAGACAGTCTGTAACATTCCTCAGCATTTCAGTTCTTGCTGAGCTAAATCACATACACTATGTGTTGAAATCCCTTTATATAACACTTAAGAGTAGAGTCATTAGCAGCCCACAGAAATATTTTGTCCTAATCTACAGGTTAGGACCAAGAAAAACATAAACCAGCTTTGTTAGTGGCATCTGTGGGGACATTTCAGAGATGATTCCAGCAAAAGATGATAGAAGTTGCCCCAGATGTCGGATCATCTTGTTTCTTTCTGAGCAGCACAGGGCCTTTCTTGGCCAAGCATGAATCTTGAGTACATCCTCTGCAAAGGTCAAGGCCATGTGGCTTGTAGCACTGAGCTCTCTGTGCCTCAGTCTTTTTAACCAGCTACCAAGATGGGGATAAAGCTCAGCATGGAAAACTGCAGTTGCAGATAATGTAATTACAGAGTGTTGTTACAATGGGAAACATACTGCTGATGCCTCCCAAAACTGTGTGTGATGCATTTATTGACTAATATTACTGTCTTCTCACTGTCAAAATGGTGGCCAAAGTCCTTATTTATTGCAGCTGGCATTCATATGTTACATAAGTAACTATTTGCAAACCTGCAGTTGACCAGCAGAAGGTGTCTTTCATAGTTACCCTGTTTTTCCTTGTTACCACATGAATTAAATCACATAAACCTCCCATGCAGTGTCTCATTGAGCAATAACAACAATTTACGGCATCCACATATGAAGAGCTTAAAGAAAGCAATAAAAAAAAAATTGGTCTGTATAATAAGCTAGACACCTTCAAAAGCCCGTTAGACTGTCAAGGAGCCTCTTTACAGGGTAATTAGTTGCATCTTGATATTCCAAAGCATTTTAAAAAGCAGTGCATAAGACTGAATTTCTCCCTTTTGGCAGCTGCATAATCATCATCTGGGAAGCCACGTGATCCTTTACTTGCACCTAAACCCAACATGGACATGGCCAAGAGAAACTGAGTCTCTCTGCATCAGCCATGATGTGCAGCCTGGATGGTGTTTTTTTTTGTTTTGGATTGGTTCTAGTCTGGTGTTAAAAGAACAAGGCTTGTCATTGCACACCCCAGGAAAGGCACAAAAGGCACAAGCGAGCTGAACCGATCAGCATGTGGCAGTTCTGCGCCAGTCAGAAAGCAAATAAATACACTGAAGTGTAATTAGGATAAATCAAATATGCACCACAATTATATGGTACGTGGTAAGCAGACTCCAAAAGTGAGTGGTGTACTTTTGTATTGTAACATTTCCTGTGTTCCCAAAGCAAATTTTTTCCTTATTTCATTTTTGAGATTTAATTAGATGGCTTCAAAAGATGTTGTTTTTTTTCTCTAACAAACCTTTTTTGAAAGTTGTGTCTTTTTTTTTTACTAATTTACTTATGGGGGAACTGAACAGGATTACCATCAAAATACAGTAAAAAAGCATCCCTGTCCAATAGATAAGGATGCAGAAGGATGGGGAGACTGTACAATGAAGTTAAATTCTAGTACTATTAACAGGTGAACTTGGTGCTGTCTGGAGTAGTACATATAGTGAATTTTGTCTTTTAAAATCTGCTGGCATGAAAAAAAAGAAACATCTAATCAGTACTGGATAAACCAGCACACACATGCACACACACAAAATCTGCCTTTATGTTCAACACTGATACCAAAACAAAAGTGAGATACCAGTGACAGCCAAGTGCATTGGCCACCCTGCCCCTCAAACACTGCTCTCCTCACCTTGTCGGGGTCTCACCTGGCTGGAGAAAGCAGCACATGCTGAAAAGCAAGAGCATGTGAAGAACCACTTGTGAGATCAAATCTTCAAGTGACTCAGTTGTAATGGGGTGCTTCAGGCAGTGACTGCGGGGTCACTGATCTGCACAGCCTGATTTTTCAGTCCCAGAAGTCCTACAAATTTCCATCTATGGAAACAAAGCAACCACTTGTCAACATGAGCTGTCAGCACAGTGGAGGATTGGGGTTCCTCAGGCACCTTTGACAAATCTGTCACAGCTGGATGCTGTTGCAGATTAAATTTCAGCTGGTTTAAGCTGCAGTTACACAGCTCAGGAATGGTCTCTGCTTGATGAGCAGATGCACCCAGAGTAATTTTGTGACTGAATGAGCCATGGATATGCCACCTGATACTGCAAATTGTACTGCCCCTTGCTCATTGCTACTCTCCACATGATTGCTGGATGCTACTGGGAGTCTTTGGGGTGAGCTGCCTCCCCAGGAGGAACTGCAGTCCACAGCAGTGCCCTGTCCTGGGGCCTGACAGACACCCGTTGCCAGTGGCTCCAGATGCAGCAGGGGTAACCTGCTCCCAGCTCAAGCAGTAGGATAGGTATAAAGACTGCTGGGGGAAAGGTCAAGGCTGGGTTGAGAT